GTGAATGCTCAGTCGAGTAGTCCAAGCTGCAGAAGCTGATCCTTGTATCCTTATCATGAAGCATCAAGAAGTATTGCCTCCTCTCACTGAAGGGCCAGTAATCCATTATAAATAAACCCCAGCAGGTCTCCTGATAGTTTCTTGCTCGACCTATTTATATCAAAGGAAGGAGAAAAGCACTGTGAGAGTAAAAATCATAACATCCACTTCCCAGTTAACTTAAGCTTCCATTCAGATCTTTCAATTTTGATTCTGAAATGAGCAAAGATGAGAACTGCATTATAAGTATAACATTTACTGTATAAGGAATTGGGGTCCACAAAATGTTCACGATAATCTGAATTAAATTAGAATAGGTGAATAATTGGGTATTAATTTTAAATTTATATTTATTTGCGACTATTGCACTGGTATTAGTCAGAAGGGTAATAAAGTGCTAACTGTTTTAAATCAGGATGAAAGAATTTCAGGAACAGATGACCAAGAAAATGGTTGACCATTTTGGTATCACACATTTTTCCTGCACTGTGTTGAACAGAATTGGAAGGACCAATCATTATGACAGTCCTCAGAAAGTCTGTCTCAATGGGCAGTTTTACAGCTGGTACTTCTTTGACTACATAAGAAAGGTGTATACTGCCTTAGAAAACAACAGAAAAGCCAAACCATTGTTGTCATACATGCATTTCAACACGGGACACGAGATGACAGGGACACGGATGATCAACATGGATGCCGGTATGGCAAAGTTTTTGACGGATATGGCCTTATTTCCAGACACCTTGACTGTTATTTTTTCTGACCATGGTCACAAAATGACTCCATTCAGTTACACTGAAGAGGGAAGGAGAGAGTTATTTGATCCTGTGTTCTTCATGATCATACCCGATGGTGTTAAGGAGAAACTGGGTCGAGAAAGGATGGGAGCCCTGGTAACAAACCAGAAGCGCATCTTTATGTTGTACGATGTTCACAATGCATTCATGAGTTTGCATGATTCTCAGAATAAGGACTCTAGCAATCATTTAGTGTCAGGAATATTTTCAGAGATTCCAGCAAACCGCACCTGTGCACACTTGTACATGCTTCCCTTAACCAGATGCAAGTGTGAAGGTTTTGATGAAGCGATTCCAGTAAAGGACAATGCAGATGATCACATTTGGTTGGCAGAATTTGCTGTTGGATACATAAATGATGCTATTCAAAAGCAATACATGGACGGTAAGATTTGTTTTGTATATGTGCACGATCCTTCGCAGTAAAGCACTATTTAAGCAAAAGTGAAAATCAAACCTGAAAAAAAACTCAGATTTGTTTTGTTCTTTGTTCTCTGTTGTTTTTTTCTGCTGACTCTGCATTTAGTGGGCAATGAATGTAAAATACTGCTGCTGAAACAAACCGTCAAATTGAAGAAATCAAGGGAATATGGGTAGATTAGGGTGAGTTGAGGCAGGGTGGGGTGGGTGGATGTAGGATGAATGAATGGAGAGAGATGGATTCTGCAGGTGAGGTAGGGTTAGGTTAGATGGGTCTGGTGGGTGGCCGTTATAAGTTAAGGTGAGGGTGCAACTGGGTAAGATGAAATACTTCTGACTCTAATTAACGAAGTGCATTTGGTTTCATTTTTATTTATTTTCCACTAATTCCCATCAGGAAATGGTGATGCAAAGAACAAATATGGCTACGGAAACTGCCAGCGCTTGGTTGGAAAATCATTTGAAAAGATTATCAAGCGATTCCGTGGAGAATACATCTTGACTACCATGGACATTCATGTGGTCCCTCCTGTCGGATTAACAGAGGATGAAGTTTATAAAGTCTCTCTTAAACAGTTTGCCAAACCACAACAAGGAGTATTTTTTCTCAGTTCTGTCCGGGTAACGATGTATAACAAGTTTGCCTCGTGTGTAGATAAATCTGTGGATATCAAGCTCTGCCTATGCGCCAAAGAGCAAACCACAGACGCCAACAAGAAAGAAATATTTTTTCAGAATGGAATTCCTCGCAAAATGTTTGGTTCGGACACAACTGTGAGAGACTTGGATTCGAACTGTTTGTTATTCTTGCGACGGAATTATGGGTCGTTTTCATTTGGGTTAGAAGTGGCAAATGTTTGCCCAAATCGAACGTATACATTTAAACTAACAGGCTCTATGGATCAAAGGATATTCTCTAAGAGTTTACCTGTTGGGCTGGAGTTATTCCCGAAGACATTTCATTTTTTGACCTCTGTATACAAGTACCTCTCAAAAGTAAACGATCCTTTAGAATTAAAAGCAAGTGTAAGGGTTAAGAAGGATGGAACAAACACTTTTACTAATTTGGGGATCTTCAGTGTTACATGAGAGTAAAAATGGTGGTCAAATTATAAGAAAAAAAACTTAACCTGTACATTAAGGTCTTCAACACTTTCATCGCGATTCTATAAATTCATATTTTCTATGAACATACGTTATGATATTTGATTTATCAATTTAAGTGTTAATAGAAGTTTGTTTCTTGCGACAAAACCGTCGTAAATATTAGACATATTATATAATTTGGTATGTAATTTGTGTTGATAATGTTGATAATGTTAATTGACCACCATAAAGATTTTCTACAATTGGCGTTTCAAACCTTTGCCCTTCGTTAATTTGTATTATCAACTCAGTTAATAAAACCAACTGATGTTACTCACCCACCGTCGAAGCGCCAGAGGTTCTTTAGAAACTTACACTCTTTAATACTTTTAGACAGTGATTAAGAGTTAGTTTATCTAACAGCCCAGGCCGTCCTACGCGACGGGGGGTGGGATTCCTGCAAGCAATTGCTGTTACAATAACCGGGCGTTTTCTATAACCTCGATGATACAGCATGTCTATATTATACTTGTATCTCTTTCAAAAGAAAGAAAATAAATGGTCATCCCTGTTAATGTTCCCTCGGTTTTTGCACTCAAGCTCGCTACCAAGGTGTGATTTGATACAAATGCATCAAGATGTGATATGATTCAAATACATCATGCAAAACTATTCGTCACTCGAAGAGTACCTCCAACGAAACAAGGTTGCCTAGAAACAGACTATGGTAGAAAAATAGCGCGTTTCGAAGCGTCTAGGAATGTTAACAAATCCATGCTTTGATCAAAATTATAAGATACAGCGACATCGGAAGCCTTTGATAAGCCCTTTACTGATTGAAGAACTTCATTTGAAGTGAATCAAAGGAGTCGTGATATAAGAAGCTTTATGTTATCATAGAAGGAAAACTGGCGTTTTCATTCAAACTGAAGAAACATGCAAATTATCTGCACGTGATCGACCTAACAAGCAGGTCTGAAAGATGTATTTGACGATTGCTTTTTTCATCAGTTTTCTTTTGAAGTACTATTGAGCAAAGGTTTTCATGCAGAGACGCTTTATCTCAAATAAATAACAAAAAACTTAAAAATGATCAAAGTCAGTGTTTTTAACTATATAGTGTATGTACTATCTCCTTAAGTAATCAACCTCGAAAGCTTGGCTCCTTTGGCTACTACAGACTCTTTCCACTGCTTTGTGTAAATTCATGTATAGTTAGAACTCTCTTCTTTTATTTTTCTACTTTTTCTCTTTCTCGTTGTTGTATTTTTAGTAAAATAAGTGTGAATAAAGTTCTGAAGTTCTGAAGCTAATTTTTAACTCGTTTTATTTTATCAAAACGTTGACTAGGTGTTCTCATTCTTCTGTGGTTTACAATGTTGACAAAATTAATCTCGAATTGTTTGCACCTTCTCGTATGTCGGTGTTAGATATTGATACAAGAATTACACTACCACGGTATTATCTCAGTAAGCTATTTGTTCCATTAAGGTGTTGTCTAAAGAGATTTGGAGACTTTCTTTTCAAATTGACGCGGGTGGCGGCTTTAGCGTAAACAGAGACAAAAAGAAAATGGCTGGCCATGGCCTGATACTTTTTCCACTATTGGGTTGCAGTAACAAAATTGTGTAGAAAACCTCCTTGGTTTTTGAATTTCAAATTACAATTTCTCTCTTCCTCTCGTTCTCTTTGTATTCCTTTTGCGGTCACGCGCGCTTTTGTGTTCACCCTTTTGTGTTTTCACGCATTGAAAACTGACGTGGAGATTTTTCGCGTACTTTAGTTGTTTGTTTTACTGAGTTGATTTTAAGTTGTTGTTTTGAGCTTTCGTTCGCACAAAAGTTTTACTCCCCTGTTTAGAATTTTAAGAAGTTTCGGAGTTTTTATCTAAGCCGAAGGTTGTGGTTATTTTTACAAGTTTAAAAAACATTTTCCACGTAGTTTGAAGACAAGACTCTTTTTCTGTAAATGGAGTTTTTTTTCAATTAGTCTCAAATTGTTTCCACCGTTTAATTTTATCATTCGATTTTGCTTGGAACTAGCCTAGTGTAGCCGCATCCTCTCCTTCCTTAAGGAGAAACGGAAGGGAGGAAACGTCTTCTGTTTTTTCTTGGTG